AATCTTAGAGTTTGTGGCCATTTCCGCACACAGCCCGCACAGCGGAGTAGGTCAGAATGATCGAGAACAATGGTGGGAGCAACTGCGGGGGATTTGCTGTCTGCATGAGCGGTCTGTAGATAAGATACTACTCATTGACGCAAATGCTAGACTGCACACACCAGTTGATGCCATTGTGGGCAATCTCGTGGAGAACTTTCCAACCCCTAATGAGCTGTCTTTTGTAGATCTACTGGCCTCCACTGGCCTCTTTCTACCCAGCACATTCGAGGAGTTTCATTGGGGAGACATTGCCACATGGACCCATCCAGGGGGAGGCACATGCAGCAGACTTGATTACATTGCTCTCCCAATACAGTGGCGGTCTGCTGTCATCTCCACATGGGTTGATACAGAAATCAGCTCTGGTGCGGCCGTGCCAGATCACTCTTGCGCCGCTGCGTATCTGAACTGGACACAAGCGCTCCAAATGAGTGCTAGCAATCGCCATAGCTATGATCATGATGCGATACATAGGCCTGATGCAAAGCCCATTCTCAGGGACATCATTGAGACCATACCCGAAGTGTCATGGGAAGTTAATGCGTCGGTCCATGCAGCTCAGATCAGCAAGCACATCAGAGAGTCGCTCTGTAGAGCATTCCCACGTCAAAAAAGACTGAGACAGAATAAGATCGCTAGCGACGATGCCAGACAATTATGTGCCCTGAATGTCAGTCTCAGGAGACAGCTCAAGCCATACAAGATGATGGCTAGGCTTGCATTGATAAGGGAATGTTTCGATAAATGGAGAAACCGAAATTACATAGGAGTCACGGACGAATGGGCCAAAACCTTCCATGTTAAACAGGCAATGATCCGGTCCCAATTGAACGATACCGCATGGAAGTTAAGGAAACAGCTACAAGCTGATCGAAAGTCCTACTTGGCCGGCGTTTGTGATAGAGTCAAAGAGTCCAAACCCGGAGATGTGTTCCGGATGCTTCGCCCGCTCATTGGCACAAGTCGCCGGCATGGAGTTGGAATGCCACTGCCGCAAGTTAATAAGCTGGATGGCGGTGCCACGACTAGTTTTTCGGAATACCAGCAAAGATGGACAGAGCATTTTGCACAGCTCGAAGGCGGGCATGAAGTAGACCCAGCTGATTTTGTTAGGAATGAACTGCAGCGACAGCAACAAAGTCAGCAACCTAGGTGGGAGGCACTTAGTGAGATGCCTACACTATACCAGCTTGAAAATGCACTCCGACGAGTTCACTCACATAAGGCCATGGGACCTGACGGAGTGCCTGGAGACATCCTCCATATGTTTCCCCGAGAGCTGGCGAGAGTCCTGTTCCCGCTCATGACTAAATTTGCTGTGTGGCTCCATGAGCCGGTCCAATGGAAAGGGGGACAATTAGTCAAGCTGTACAAAGGCCAGGGGCCAGTCCAGGAATGCTCGAGCTTCAGAGGAATTCTTCTCATGAGCACCATTGGCAAAGCTGTACGGGCAGGAATGCGCTCCAAGGTCAACCGAGCTTTTGTAGACAATAGCACTGAAACACATTTCGGGGGCAAGCCAGCCCAAAGTGTGATTTTCGGGGCTCAAGTTGTCCGGCACTTCATATCGATGAATCGTGTCAGAGGAAAATGCTGTGCCGTGCTGTTCTGCGATATCGCCTCTGCTTTCTATCGTGTCCTGCGTCAGTTGGCCACAGGAGCGGACATGACAGATGAACATATCGCTACTGTTGTTTCCAGGTTAGGACTGCCTAGTGAAGTAATGCACAAATTGCATGAGGCATTGACAGGCAAGTCCTCGCATGAAACACTTGGAGGCACACATGCTGAGCGATCTTTGTTGCAGGAAAGCTTGTCAGGTACCTGGTTCTGGACTGAAAGAGGACCGCTTATTCATACACTAGTAGGCACCAGACCGGGTGACTCATGGGCAGATATTACCTTCAATGTTCTTTTCGCAGAAGTTATTCAGGAGACCCAAAAGGAGCTACAGAAACTCGGATTAGCCTTGATGACTTCCGCTGACGCGGAACGTGTACTTCTGCCATTAAAGGAAGAACAAAATCAGGATAAGGAAACTTCATGTCACACAACATGGGCGGATGATCTTGCCCTCCTCCTGCCATTACAATCCCCGGAGAGAGTGATACAGCAAACGGGCCTTGCTGCACAGGCTCTGCTGACACAACTAGCCAGATTCGGAATGAAGGCGTCCATAGGCACAGCAAAGACAGCTGTCTTGCTTTTCGTACGAGGCCCTCACGCTGTTACTGCGAGAAGACGGATTTACGCTACCAAGAATCCGCAAATTCCAGTTTTGCTTGAAGCAGAAACTGTTTCGCTTCCGATAGTCACACAATATAGGCATCTCGGAGGCATTGTTTCTGCCAAAGCTAGTATGAAGCTCGAGATCTCAGCACGCATAGGCAAGGCAAATGCGGCTTTTGCCAGAATTGCTCGCAAGGTCCTGAAAGTACAGGGGTATCCCCTCAAATTGCGAATCCAAATTTTCGAGGCTACTGTGATGTCCATCTTTACTTGGGGATGCGGAGCCTGGCCTCTGTTACAGGCCTCCGAGTGGAAGATGTGGCAGAATGCCTGTCATAATTTGTATCGCAAGATTAGTCCATTGGCAAATGAAATGCATTCCCGACATGTTTCCAATGCCGAAGTCCTAGTGTCCTTAGAACTGGCCACGCCAAATGACCGCCTGCACACAGCACGAGTTCGGCACCTGGGGGCTATGGTAGCACACGCCCCAACTGCGGTGTGGGCACTCATGCGACAAGATGAAAGAGCCAGACATGCCTATGAAGCATCCATGAATTGGTTTTGGCTGGCACTAGGTAGGGACGCTGACGTACCCCAGCTATACTCTTGGCCGATGTGGGAACAAATCGCCAGCAGCACTCCGCACACTTGGAAACGGCTAGTGCGGCGCATCGCTGCCAGATATAGAACCTTTCGCATCAATGAGGCAAGGGTCAAACAGGCTCATAGTGAAATCATTAAGATGCTAGTTGAGCTAGGGTCGATAGTAAAGGGACAGGAGACGGTGACCCGACACTACTGTCTCCTATGCGAGCGAGCCTTCCAAAATAAGCGTGCGTGGTTTTTGCATGCACACCACAAGCATTCGTATCTCTCAATGGCTGGACAAGCTGCCCAAGGCACTTCATGCCCTGTTTGTGCAAAAGAATATTTTTGCCGAGAGAAACTGAAGCATCATTTACAGTATAGTGCTGTATGCCGCAACTTTGCCTGGAAAGCTCGTGGCCCACCCATCACCAGTCAGACACAGGCTCACAGTCTCATGCCATGGACATACCGCGAACAGATTCCAGTATGCCATGATGATGACACCAACCGTGATGATGAGGGCTTGAAGCACGACCTGGACGCCGAGCTTCGGCGTTTCGTAGTTTCGGTCGACCATCCATCCTTCGAAGCTGACTTGTACCACAGGATACGAGACACCTGCAATAGACCAATGCCGTTCCCGGATATTGCCAAGGTCTTCGGGCAATGGCTGCAAGATCTCGGTCCTAATGCGGATCCGGCTCTCCTAAAGGTCGGCTCAAGGATCACGGGAGAGTTCGCTGCCATAGAAGGGTGGGTGCTAGCTGGGCTCGAAAAGAACATTGAGAATGAACAAGAGCGAAGAGATGTCACGTGCAGCCAATTTCCCACACACCGACCGAGAAAAGCATTCAGGGACAGATATTTCTTCCACCTTTTTAGTGGAAGAAGAAGACCAGGCGACTTGCAAGATGCACTAGAATTGCTGGAGCCGGAAGCCGGTACTACCCTCTGGGTACTATCAGTAGATGTAATGGTCTCCAGCAAATACTGCAATCTGCTACAAGAGGACACACAGCAGTTGTGGCTTCGACTAGCACGCGACGGACTGGCAGAAGGCATGCTGGCAGGGCCACCATGTGAGACATGTTCAGTTGCGAGAGAAGCAGATGGCATGTCGCCAAAGAAAGGGCCAAGGCCTCTGCGAACAGCAGAGGCTCCGTGGGGGCTGCTTGACCTTGTGCCTCGAGAATTTCAGCAAATAGACGTTGGCAATAGGCTCATGTTGTTCGCGCTGAAAGTTTGTCTCGCACAGGCGGCGCAAGGGAAGTTTTCCCTCCTCGAACACCCAGATGACCCTCGCTCTTTCGATCCCAGCAAAACGAGGTCACCAAGCATTTGGAACGCTGCCTTATTAGGGTGGCTTCGCCAGACGGGGTTGTTTGTTGAACTGCAACTTGAACAAGGATTCTTCCATCAGACGAGTCCTAAGCCTACCCGGTTCCTACTGAGCGGATTGACGTCTGAGGTGGCCCGCAAGATAGAGTTTTCCTGTAGAACGTCCACGCGACCGATGGTTGCTTCCATCGGACGAGACGGTGATTCTTTCAAGACAGCTAAGTTGAAAGAGTACACACCGCAATTGTGCACTATGATTGCCCAACTGTTTTTTCATCGGTCGAAGCGCCTAGTCGAAGAACTAGAAGATGCTCCCGATGATCTCAGGTGGCTACGATCGCTTTCAGTGACCACGTTTGAGCACGAGACTCACGGGCCTGATTTCGCGCGCACAGATTAATTCAGAATTTAGATGCCAGGCGGCGCGCTTGACTGCACTTGCCGTGTGTGAAATGAAATGAAATGAAAATGGACCTTTCAATGTGGTTTTTGTCCTTTGTTTGGAACGAATGTTGCACAAGGGGCAACAATAGTTCTCTTGTGGAGCGTATGTTTTCTCGAAAGCAATCTGCTGGTGTTCCACCCTACTAGTAGCGATGGCCTCCAACCTAAAGGCAATCTGCTTGTGTTTTCTGCCAAAAGCAATCTGGAAGCCGTTTATTACTAATAGCCTAGCTTCTTGTTACTAGGAGTAAGAATGCTCCTAGTAGCGATGCCAGGAGCCTCTAGTAGCGTCCTTGCTCCTAGTAGTAAGGCCAGGAGCTACTAAGGCAATCTGCAGAAAACCACGAAGCTCTGAGGAAATCTTATCGCGCGCGGAGGAGTCGGTGAACTTCAATGGCGTGGCGCATCGTTTGCTCTGGCGAGAGCTGCACCGCCTCAACGCCATCAGGTCGTCAAAGTGCACATGAAAGCGATTATGGTTTGTTGCAACTTATGGAGCTATTAGGGTGGAGGCCATCGCTTCTAGGTTGGAGGTCAATGCTACTAGGTTGGAGGCCATCCGTTTGCTTTGTTTTCTTTGTTGCAACTCGTGGAGCTTTCTGAGATTGCCATTTGTGGAGCCACAATGGCTGGGGGTGCAATTCTTTCGCAACCCCGTGCAACGTGAACTGTTGGCACGACTCAATCGGAGCCGGCTTTTCCATGACTTGGACTCTGGTGAACTGGAGATGTTTTGAGACATGCTCAGAAGCGAGTAGATCGTGGACTCAATGTTTTTCTCTTACAACTTCGCAAAACTGGGAATGGACTCCATCACTTTTCTTCTTTTTTTGAGTTTGAAAAAGAAAAGGAACAAGGTCCTTTCATTCTAGGAGCAAGGACGCTACTAGGGGCTCCGGGCATCGCTACTAGGATCATTCTTGCTACTAGGAACAAGAAGCTACTAGCATTCTTGCTCTTGTCGTTTTCTTTTCCTCTTGAAATTCCGCTTTTGGAGGTGGGGCCGCCGTCTCTTCTGGCTGCAGGGCCCGGGCCGCGTGGAGCGGCCTTGGTCCTGGGACTCCGCGGCGATCGAGGCATGGAAGGTGCGGAGAACCGAAGCCACTTAGTGGTTTCTTGCTCCTAGTAGCGATGCCCTTTGCTCCTAGTAGCGTTCTTGCTACTAGTAGCAATGGCCTTCACCCTAGTAGCTTCTAGCTACTAGTAGCTTCCTTGCTCCTAGTAGCGATGCCAGGAGCCCCCAGTAGCGTCCTTGTTGCTAGAGTCAAGCTTCGAGTCGAGGAGTTGGGAAAAATATGTGTCGAACTGTTCAACGAGAGGAGGAGGAAAAGAAAGTCAAAGACTCTTCATCTAAAGCAAAAGGGTAACTTATTCAATTTGAAAAAAAAAGGTCTTAGATTTTCACAGTGTGAGAAAAGTTTTGTGATCCAGGTATAATGTCCGGTGTTTTGGCTAGGGCCCCTTGAATCAGGCTCCATTAAACGGGCCTTTATAAAGGGACCCAAACACTTTTGTAAGACTATTTTTGATTATACCTCAGTCAGTAGAGAGGGGATTGGTGCAATGACCAGTGGCTTGGATTGGGTTTCTTGCTTTAGCCTTATAGCCTATAGCCAAAATTCACCCCTGATTTGAAGAACTTGCAGTTGACAACTGGCTGAGGCTGGTCGCACGGGAGTTCCGTATATCGACGCATGCATGAGGGAGCTCAAGCAGACTGGCTGGCTGGCTTATAAAGGCGAGCGGCCTCCACCCTTATAGCAATGGCCTCCAACCTAATAGCAAAGGCCTCCACCCTAGTAGCAATGGCCTCCAACCTAATAGCAATGGCCTCCACCCTAGTTAGC